ATAGGGTCCGAATGTTGGATAAACTAAAATACATTGGTATAAAAAACTCTGAGCTTGACTGGTTTAGAAGTTTTCTATGTAATCGTAGGCAACAAACAATAGTTAATTCTAAGATGTCTAGTAAGATAGCCGTAGACATCGGATTACCACAGGGCTCAGTTTTGGCACCCCTACTCTTTAATATATATATAAACGATATTAAAAGTTCTCTCAAACATTGTAAAATAAAACTCTTTGCGGATGATGCCTTGTTAACGATCAGTGATAGGGAACTACCAAATGCGATTGTCAAAATGCAAGAAGATCTTAATTCTTTGTATCAATGGCTGTGTTCAAATAAACTCAAACTGAATGTGAAAAAGACTAACTTTATGATATTTTCCAGAGCGGCAAATGCTGACTCCATAAGCCGTGAATTAAAAATCAAAGATGAAAATATCGAAGAGGTGAAAATTGTCAAGTACCTAGGAATATACATAGACAACAAACTAAAGTTTGATGAGCACGTTGAGTATACAGTCAACAAGATTGCTAAAAAAATTGGCCTTATAAAGAGATCGTGTAAGTACTTGGGAAGAAGATATAAAACGTTGGTGTACAGGTCAATAGTAGAACCGCACTTTATATACTGCCCCACGATTTTCTTCCTAGCGGGGGACTCCCATGTAGATAAGCTGCAAAAAATGCAAAACCGAGCGATGAGATTCATCCTCAACAAACCGTATGACACACCAACAAGATGTATGCTTGAAACCTTGAATTGGTTAAGCGTGAAGCAACAAGTTTTTTACCACGCTATGAAATTTGTGTACAATATTAAAAAGGGCAACCTGCCGGATTATCTTAGCGATAATCTCCGATATATAAATGAGACGCATACATATTTGTTGAGAGAGAATAACAGCTTCAGACTCCCGAAGTATAGAACAGAAGTGGACAAAAAAAATATTTTCTATAAAGGCTTAAAGTGCTTCAATGAATTACCAGAGGCTATAAAAAATTGTGATACTATCACTCTTTTCAAGCGGCTGCTATTTGACTATTGTAGAACGCAGCCTACAAGATAGTGATGTATCAACAATAGCGTGGATTGGAAACTAGGCCTTTCCAACCACCAAGATATCGAGACTAGGCGGATCGGAAACTCGGCCTTTCCGACTACCTAGACCCTTAGATAATAAACAATAAACGAGCGGATTGGAAACTAGGCCTTTCCAACCGTCAACCGTCATGAAAGCGCGACTGGGTGGATCGGAAACTCGGCCTTTCTGACCACCCAGGAGATATCAATAAATGGAGTAACCCAAAAAGAATAGCGCGGATTGGAAACTCGGCCTTTCCAACCGTCTACATAACTTTCGGGAAATTGCATGCGTTTATATTGACATAAAATAATTGCAGTGATAAAGAAATAATGTTATTTAAAAATTTCTGTAGAGCATTTTGTATTTTGTATTTAATATTTAATATTTACATTTTAAATCTAAAATCTAGTTATAAGAATGTTAACTCTTTGTTGCAATATAAGTCTAACAGACTGTAAAAAATAAATAAATAAAATAAATAAATAAATTGCTCTACGTTTGGACGGTTGGCATCGATGAATGGCGACTATTTAAACAAAATCCCCAGACCACTTGTAGTATCATTGGAAGGGAACTCTTCAATATCTTTGAACCAGAGACCCAGAATAGTAATTATTTCACTGTCGAGTATTAAAAAAGTCATCCAAAATTTCGAAACAATTATAAAAGTCTTTTAATAATAATTATGAGTGAGAAAATTTTTTTAAAATCATCGATTACTATTATTTTAAGACATATATAATAAAACCTTTTTCATAATGATTATTAGCGAGATAATTATTTTTAAGTCTTCAAAAGCTTTTAGTTTGAAACGTATATTATAAAATTCTTGTCATAATAATTATCAATGAAAAAAATTTTAAGTCTTCAAAGACTTATATTATAAAGTCTATTCATAATAATTATGAGTGCTAAAAACGTTATTAAGTGTTAAAGACGGGGCTTGTTCAGGACCATTTCGGGATTAGTTCGGGATTACTTCGGGACTAGTTGGGGCCCAGTTCTAAAACAGTTTGGAACTTTGGGGCCAGTTGAGGACTAGTTTTGGACTATATTATATATATAGTCCTGAAAATAAAAGTCTTTGAAGACTTAAAAATATTTATGTCAATGATAATTATTATGAAAAAACTTTTATAATATAAGTCTTAAAATAAAAGTCTTTGAAGACTCAAACATATATATCTCTCTCAAAATCATTATGAAAGGACTTTTATTATATAAGTCCTTGAATAATAATTATAGATGACTCGAGAAATTTGTATCTTAATATAATAATTACACAGGTCATCAACGTTTTGTTCTAGGAAAGTGTAGGGTCATTTTCGAAGTAGTTTTTTGCGTAGAATCCGAATCCGGGGTTTAAATTGCTCTATCACGTCAGGATTTTGAGATATCCTAACCTAAAAGTGCAAAAAACGCTGTTTTTGCCCATTTTTGAGGTTATGTAGCTACGAAGATTTTGCTCTTCATAAAAAAGTAGTAGTAGTAAAAGTGGTATTTGAAAGTATAAGTCTTCCTCTTTTAAATGCCGTTGAGTTTGCTTAAATATCTTTATTTTTCACTGAGATATCGCATTTTGAAGTTTCCATGTTTGTGAATTTTTCGATATTCGAAAATCCATTGAGATAACATGAGACGTGATACGGTCGATTACATTCACAAACATGGATACTTCAAAATGCGATATCTCAGTGAAAAATTAAGATATTAAGATTAAGATATTTGAGCAAACTCAACGGCATTTAAAAGAGGAAGACTTATACTACGTCTACTTTTTTATGAAGAGCAAAATCTTCGTAGCTACATAACATCAAAAATGGGCAAAAACAGCGTTTTTTGCACTTTTAGGTTAGGATATCTCAAAGTCCTGACGTGATAGAGCAATTTAAACCCCGGATTCGGATTCTACGCAAAAAATTACTTCGGAAATGACACTACACTTTTATAGAACATTCCGAACCCATTTTTTTGCAGACCTGTGTTATTGGTTGGCTTTTATTTTTTTCTCTTATAACAGTTATGTCTCTGCTTTGAACTCTTTAGCCTTCCCAATGACTATCCATACTTCACCGCTGGGGAAAACAAGTGGATTGCTGTGGTTTAGCAGTTTGTGCAGAAGTTGTTTAGTCTTGTCTGCCAATGGGTGTATTGTGAATTGTTCCGCCTGAGTCCGGCGAGTATGAATCTAGTAGTTGCCTTGAAGAAAGTACGTTCGCCAACTCGGACGTCCGTAGAAATGGGAAGGACGGAAAGTATATTTCGCCTTTCAATTCAG